TCTTCAACTTATCTCTATATCCATCTATCTATCTATCTATCTATCTATCTATCTATCTATCTATCTATCTATCTATCTATCTATCTATCTATCTATCACCTACCTACCTACCTACCTACCTACCTACCTACCTACCTACCTACCTACCTACCATAGACCTGAAGATAAATAACTAGAAGAGATGAAAGAAAACATATATCCCAAATAGATTTCATTGTATCTGAAATAATTTTAATTTAGACTGGGAGATCTAGATGATTGCCATTTTCCTTTTGCGATGCTGTAATGTATCTTCTGTGTACCATATTCTATACTTCATTGAATCCAGTTCTTGTGAGGAATCATAGAATCATAGAACTGGAAACTAAAGTGGGTTATAGGAATCAGGGAAATCAGGTACCTTGGAGACCAGAGATCTCTAGCATGATCCACAGCTAAATTTAACTCCATCTGTTGCAGAAAATTAGTATCAAGCACACTTGTAATTCAATGGATCATGCTGTTTTTCCTGACATTCTAGCATTGGAATGTTTTTATCTTATACTCTATTTTAACTGGATGGAATTTCACTGTGGTAATAATTTAGATTCTTCTCCTTTCCTTGTCATGGAACAATTGCTGATGGTTTCTTATTATACCCACTTTATGAATAAAATATAATTCCAAAGAAAGTCTAAACTGATTTTTTAATGTCAAAGTGTACTGTTTTTTCTTTCTTTCTCTCTATGGCGAAATTAGGGCTAAAATGAATGATACTATTAATCTTCTTGACAGTTTTCTCTTTAAAACTAGTTTGAACTGATACAGTAATCTTAAAACATTTTAAGATACTTATATCTAATCATTTAAACTTGGTATAAAATTAGTAAGAACATTAGGGGTTTTAGAATGTGAGTCTGAACATAGAATAAATTGAATTAAAATGTTAATAAAGTTCTGAGTGCTTGCAAATATGTGTGGAAATAGGACATGTCTCATCATTACATTTCATACAATTATTTGAGTTTAATTATAATTAAAATAAATTTCTGAGGTAAAAAGTTGCATATGAATATGCCCATTTTCTGCAACCAGTGGATCAGATCCTCTTCATCACTATACCACAATCCACAAATTTCTTCTAGAAGATTAGGAACTCATACAATAAGTTACCAGAGGCATCCAGTTCTGCTGATGGACTGAAATTAATTTGCATAATGTTATATATAGCCCAGTGATCTAAACTTGTATGCTACAGCATATTGTCCAGTTCTTCAGGACAAGAAAAATTTACAGTTATTGAGAAAATGATTTGTGGGAAAAACACTTCCCCCCCCCCCAAAATTAATAATTTGCATATTATGAAATAAAATAAGACTTGAATTCATTTATTGGCTTTCTACTTATCTAATGAAAAAGTGGTATAAAACCTTACAACAGATATATACATATAGACATATATGTACAGACATATAGTCATTTATTTGTCATAATAATTTTTAAAATGTATTTTTCAAGCTAAAGATATTCTCCCAGTTGAAATTAGTTTTTACCAATAGGTTATTCATTCTTCATGCTGGCAGCTGGTGTATCTAAATATTTACTGTTGTTATTCAGATGCAGAAGATAGCCACTTGAGAAGCAGTTCTTATAAAGAGAACATTCCCACTTTTCAGAGAGATGGTGTATCTGTTTCAAGCCTATCAAAAAGAAATGAAGGTAGTACCCTACGAACCGCAAGGGATGTCAGCAGTTTTGAAAGTGACACACGAACATCTGCTGTTGCCAATACTACCATCTCCAGCAATTCAGATTTTGCTCATTCTTTTCATATGAAAACTCCAGAAGAGATTGGCCCAGATTTGTCACCTGAAGACACTGATTTTACTGAAGGAATGCTTACACCTTCTCAGGCTCCTTCAAAAACAACAGGTAAAGGATAAAGTTTTCAGAGGACTGAATTTAGGTTTATTGTTTTGAATAGCCAGTTTGATGTATTGGTTGAGTTCTAGTCCAGCTTAGACATGAAGCCAGCTAGATGACATTGGACCTGGCCCTCCCTCTCAGTCCTAGAAAACAGATAAGGGCAAAACACTTCCAAAAACAAACTTTGCCAAGAAAACTGCAGGATTTGCCCAGGTGGTTGCCAGCAGTCAAGAATAACTCAATGGCAATTCCTCCCCCTCCCAATTGTTTGTTTTGGGTTTGTGTAAAAGATAATACAAATGTGATAGGATAAGATAAAACTCTCACAGAAACAGCAATTGCTGAGATTTCTATGCATTTTGAGATCTTACAGGTTCATATATTTTTTGTTGATCTACGGACCATAAGAAAGATGGATTTGGTTAATTCCTATAATTAATATGTGAAAGAAATTAAAAAACATTTTCTAATGATGAATTTGTTTAGATTACAGTGTAAGTATTAAAGTAGTTTGATTTTTAGCAAATTCCGTATTTCCTCAGCAGGAGAATATCACTGCTTGGTACATTTTTTGGGTGGAGGGGGAACAATGGAATGACCACAGGTGAGCAAAAAAGCAGGAGGAGTGGGAGCAATCTCTGACTTCCTGCCAACTTCCGCATTGATTTTGTTCGTGGGAACTTGGCAGGGATCTTTTGGCTCCCATCTTCCTTTGTACCATGCAATCTACTGGGAAATATAGTTGAAAGGCACAGTGGTACTGCAGCAGTCACATGTTTCCAAATTTCATTCCCACAGAAATTATGGATCTTGTAAATTAATCCATTTGAGTTATCTTGGTTATCTTGTTAACTCAATACCTTCCAGTTTTGCCCAATTGAAGGTAACAAACCAGCACAAGAGTTTTAGTGGTATATAGATAGATGCTGCTGTTTTTTATAGAACAGTCCTCAAGTATAGGGCAATTAAGATGAAAATGAATGGTGCTAATTTTCTTGGCAATAAGTGTGATTGCTTACAGATTTGGACACATATTGGTCTGTTGTGAGAAAATACTATTTAATTATGGTGATAGAGTTTATCATAAGCAATCCAGTGATGCCAGAAATTGAGAGCCAATTAATGCTGATGTCAGTGGAAGTTCGTTAGGAACTTAAACAGTCCAATGCAAATTAAGAACAAAGCAAAATATTATGTCCCTAGAAACTGAGAGAATAGCAACTTGAAACTTACTGCGTGCATGGAAATACCTTCCAATCCTTTTTGACATGGAATGATGTATAACAAGGACATGTATTCATCCTACAATTCTACACCATTTTTATGTTTATTTATTTGTAACCCACCTTAATTATTATTACAAACAACTGAAGGAGATTAACATATCCAACTTAGCTTCGTCTTCCTGTTTTCCCCACAACAACAATCCTGAGTTGGGCTGAGAGAGAATGACTTTCATGGCTAAGGTAGGACTTGAACTCACAGTCTTCCTCTTTCTAGCCTGGTATCTTAACCACTAGATCTGGGGTGCCTAATTCCCAGGTTGCAGCCCACTATGGGCTGTGGCCTATTTGGAACTGGGCAGCGCGAGCAGCAGGCTGGCACATACGAACGTGTCCTTAGAATCCACATCTTGCCATGAAAGCTAAATAAAAAATAATTTATATGCTACCTGACTCCCAGCATCTCTGGTTAGGTTCAGTTTTTTTACCTGAATAAGAATCCAGAACCCTTTTCTTTAAAACAGACGCAGCAGCAGCTGGTTCAGTATTCCCAAACACATGTGGAATAAACATAATTGCAAGGGAAGTTGAGAGCAATTTTTAACCAATTTTGTTGTATTTGTTTTGTACAATGACAATGAAGGCTATACTATAAACTTACTGATTTAAATATTCCAAAGGACATTAAGAGCAAGTTTTTAATATGAAAATTGATAGAAAGTTTTCATGTACATACTTATGAGAAAATTAGGACTGAAATTAATTCCTTCCTATTCTGTTTCAGTTGAAGAGAATGGTCAGTCGCAGAGCAGCAGCTCAAGTACAGAAGGCATTTTCTCCACTTATCACCTGAACAGCTTTTCCACTTCAGTTCTATCTGGCTTAGATGGGGAGAGGACATTACGAACCCCGAGAGATGTCAGTAATGCTCACGATGTAACACAAGGATCCATAGCCTGGCACAATGAAACCTCTAGTTCGTCAGGCCTTACTGGCTCTTCTTACCTGTTAACTCCGGTAGAAACAGATTTAACTCCTCAGATCACTGATTTCACTGAAGGAGCAAGCGCTCATTTTCAAGCTTCTTCAGAAAAAATAGGTAAGAATGAAAGACATTTGGTTTCAGTTTTCATTACACTACAGGAAATCCTCGACTTAGGACCACAATTGAGCCCTAAGTTCCTGTTGGTAAGTGAGATAGTTGATAAGTGAATTTTGCTCGATTTTATGACCTTTCTTGCCATCGTTGTTAAGTGAGTCACTGCAGTTGTTAAGTTAATAACATGGCTGCTAAGTGAATCTGGCTTCCCCATTGACTTTGCTTGTCAAAAAAAAGTCACAAAGGATGATCACATAATTCTGGGGAACTGCAGCCATCATAAATATGAACCAGTTGCCAATCATTTAGATTTTGATCATGTGACCATGGGAATGTTACAAAAACTGTCACAAATCACTTTTTTCAGTGCTGTTGTAACTTCTAATCATCACTAAATGAACTGTTGTAAGTCGAGGACCATCTGCATTATTGCTTGGCACTTGCAGACAGAGTCTTGCCTGGTCTTCTCCATGCAGCTAGAATTAATATTGTATATTCATATGATTTGCCACTGTTTTGAATCTTTTTTCCTAGGAAGAAAGAGCCACATAGAAAATCCTCTTACTTCTCCTAAATTCTCTTACTTCTCCCTTCCTTGTCCACATACTAATTACATAACATTTAGGGATAAGCCTTCTTGCTGCTTCTAGAAAACAAACCAGTAGCAAACTGGGAAGCCACAGTCAAAGTCATTAGCCTTGTAAAGGAGCTCTATTGGTTGGGCTCTTGCTGGTCACATGATCTGCCATGGATTCCTTCCTTGATGTTGCTACATTATTAGTGCCCATCAATCTCATCTCTTATCACAGCCTCTCCCCAAACATACTGTAGTTTTTTTCCAAAATTTGACTCTGGACCATTCATTTGGTTTTGCAATATTAAAGGAAATGTCAAATGTATATTCCTTCTTTCATCCTGCCATTGTAAGCTTAATATAGCAATGGGTAGGAAAGAAATCATGGCTAAAGGGCACTAGGAATTCAAGGTGAGAAAAAAAAGCTCGCCTATTTTCCCTAGTATTGAGGTAGATTTCATTCCACTTGTTTTAATGGAGCATGTATTGGAGTCTATATCAGAATCTCCTTTCTTTGTAGTTTAATAGGCAAGTGTTTTTATCCTCTATCGGTTGTATATGGTAAAATACAATAGATGTAGCAGTTCCAAAATTACAATGTAGTTCTATTTAAGTGAAGCTAAGATAAAAATGAGTCATGGTTATAATTCCTTTGGGTTCAAATCATTTAAAAATTATCATTATCATTAATTATCATTATTTTGAGAGATAACTATGTGGAAATATGTTATCTAATACATAGGAGAATCCTCAGGGCATACGGTAGGGTGGGAATATCATAGAAATGTGGGCTGATTTCTAGATTTGGATTATAGTAGATGGATAAAAATATGGCTATGGATATTTGTGAAAAGTTGGGATACTAGTTTCTTTAAATATGATATGTGTACAATTGTTTTAATGCATTTTTTATTTCTTGTGCAGAAAATTCCCAAGTTATATTTCACAGCTCAATTAGTAAAGTCAATTTATTAAAAAAAAGAGAACCATTTAATTTATAAAAAGCAGCTCCAGTTCTAGACCATATCAATAAAGTTCTTGAAAGTTGTTAGTTAGTAATAACATTTTCTTGGGGCATTAGTCCACATTTAGATAAAGTATATTCCAGAAGACTTTTCTCTTATGATGCAATTACAGTATTTGAGTAGTTCTGAAGAGATCTTCAGTAGTAAAAGATCTCACCCAGAAAAATATGGAGAAGTTGTTTTAAAAAAGATGACCTCAAATAAAAGATAAAGTGAAAACTTTTATTTTTTTTGGGGGGGGGGGAAATATAATCCTTTAAATTAATTTCAGTAAGATTAAAGTAACAGAGTTGAAGTCTTACATTCTGCCATATGATAGCGGAACCTAAAAATGAGCTCTAAATGAAAAAAAAAACTTGCTTTAGTTATAGTGTTCTAACTTGATTGTTCATTTCTTGATAACATAGTAGTTATTCCCTGAAAAATCAATGTTTTCTGTTAGAGCTGCATGAGTGTAATTGTGGAAGCTTATCTGTGGTGTTCCTTTAGCATACGAACACAATGCCTTTAATATTTGACTATTATATTTCAGATGTAGGAAGCAGTGATCCACCAAGGAGCAGCTCAAATATAAAGACCAGATTTTCCCATTCTGATCAGGACAGTGCATCTGTTTCAGGCTCATCAGACAGAGATGATGAGATCACACTATCAACTTCAAGACAAGTCAAGAATGTTTTTAATATAACCCAAATATCCAGTTCTAAGAATGATAACATCACTAGCTCATTCAGTGTTGCTGATTCTTCTTATACAATGACACCAAAAGACGCCACAGAAATGAATTCATCATCATCTGGGAATAATGATTTCACTGAAGAAGCACTTACATATTCTGAGGCTCCATCAGAAACAACAGGTAAAAGAGAGGAATATCTCGTTATTTTTAGACATTTTTTTTAGACATTTATGTCAGATTTCACAGTAATTTTTAAGTTGGTTGATGTAAACCAGATTCTTGTGGGAAAAAGAATTAAAATAACAGCTTCTTTTCTAAGAATCCAATAATGGGGTTGTTATTAAAACATTTTAATAATGGGGACTTTGTAATTTATTTAATTCATAAACTAATTTATGAATGAAAATGCTTTGGCCTTTTTCTTACATTCTCTTTTCCAAATTTTACATTCTCTATTCTGATTGTTTTCTAGCATACGTTCAAGGCAATGTCAAATGTTACAACAATTTTACAGAACAATTTTTCCTAATCTGATAATATCCAGATATTTTAGAATATTTTAAATACATTTATAGAATATTATATATATTAGAACAATCATTTATCAGAATGTCACAAGGATGTTTTCTGCCCTTACATTCATGAGAAGTAGGACATGAAGGTCTTTAATGTGATGAGATCTAAAATTGAAACTATTATTAGAAAATTAATTAGTTTAATTATGACATGTTGACTGTGTAAAGTAGCCAGATTTAATATGAAATGCAATAGTAGAGCTTTCAATTATTTGGTAAACAGTAATACAGAAATGAAAATGAAATATTAATTTTTCAATTTTAAACAGTCCATAGAGTTGTGTAGGATGTCACAACATCCCTAACATCACGTGATCAATATTTGAGTAGCAGCTGTGTGTGTGTGTGTGTGTGTGTGTGTGTGGAGAGAGAGAGAGGGAGAGAGATCCCTGGTGATTTCCAACAAAGTCAACATGGGAAGCTGGACTCACATAATGATCACGTGATTCACTTAACTGCCATGATTCATTTAACAACTATGGCAAAAATGTTGTAAAATGAGGCACAACTCACTTAACAACTGTCTTCTTAGCAATGGAAATTCTGGCCCCAATGGTGATTATAACTTGAAGACCACCTGCACATCCAGATGAATCCAGTAGTGCTCCTTAACATTTATTTATTTTTTTTAAGTTGTATTTGAATGGAGACTGACATGACAACTGTATTGAAAAGTGTAGTAATAATATAAATAAAATTAGGCTACAATATAAACACACATACAAAGAAGTAGTATACTCCCTTGAATGCACTGGAACTTCTCAACAAACAATGATTCTTATGCTAACATATACATTATATATTCCAGTAGTCTGAAATTCTAAAGCACGGGTGTCAAACTTGCAGCATTACGTTGCTGTTTTGTGACATTTCACAATGTTTTTTCCCTTTGCGGAGCTGGGGTGAGCATCACCTGTGCGTGATGCATCTCAGCCTGCGGGCCGCCAGTTTGACACCCCTGCTCTAATGCATAGAAATATCTAATAATTGCCTTTTCTTTTGCAGACACCAAAAGTAGGCCACATGCCTTGAGTAACTTCGATATAGAAAAGAAGGCCACTCAGACTGAGAATACGTTCTCTTCTACTGTGATCCAAGATGAGACCTTTGGATCTTTAACTAATCAGAGCAGATCCATAGACACAACGGAATTGTCAAGGTTTGATCTGAAAAATGCTAGTTCTTCTGTGATCATCCAGACATTGTCTGCCACATTGCAAAGTAGAAAAGAAAATCCCCCCTCTACTGAAACGGATTTCACAGAAACCCTAAAACAGTCTACTTCATCAAAAGCTTCAAGTTATCCATCTTCTACAAAAGATTTTTCAAGTGAGGTTTTTTTCATTCTTCTTATGGCCATGGTTATAAATCCACTAGAGACCAGTTTGTTAATTCATTCCCTGTAGGCTTTCCAAATTGCTCTTTTCTTTTCTCTTCCTATTTACATTTTTTTTAAGTCTACTTTCACTGATGTATACTACTGCAGACATGAAGCTTTCAAATGATAAGGTCTCATGCTTTTATCTGACAAAAATGTTCACATATGCTTTATTTATTATAGCAGTTTTATTGCCCATTGAAACTATATAATAATTGTATTTATTTCACACAAATACAAGCTCTTATAAATATATGGAAAACAAGATTGTGCTGTAAAATGATGTATTTAGAAGCAGCACATGCTGCTGATTAAAGATAAGGCCTTTTTTCAGCTGGGCAAGCATATGCCTTCCTTGTGTACCTCTTCGAATAGTCATTCATTGAAATGATTTAAGATGAAAATACACAATGCAGGTAGTCCTCGACTTACAGCCTGTCACTTAATGACCATTCGAAGCTACAACAGGCCCCAAAAAGGGAACTTAGGACCCAGATCTGAAGTTATGGTGGTTGGCTGTTCCCCACAGTCATGTGACTGGACTTTTGGGCAGTTGGAAAGATGGCTACATTTACATTGGTTGGCAGCATCCCATAGTCACGTGACTGCATTGTATGATGGTTTTTGGAACACAATAACATATGTAACAAACCATTGGCTCGTTTAATGACCATGACATTTGTATAACGGTGATTTCCTTAACAAATGGTTGTTAAGGAAACATAAAATCGGTAAGTCACATGACTGATTTTACAACCATTATACCTTATGAATGTAATGGGCAGTCTCCATTAAGGTTGTAACTTGAGGACTTTCAATTCAGAATAAACTGGAAGATCTGCTAGTCCAACCCCCTGCTCAAGCAGTAGACCTTATACCATTTCAGACATGTGGCTGTCCAGTCTCCTCTTAAAAACGTCCAGTCATGAAGTACCCACAACTTTTGTTCAACTGATTGATTGTTCTCATAGTTAGGAAGTTTCTTCTCAATTCCAGGTTGCTTCTTTCCTTGATTAGTTTCCATCCATTGTTTCTTGTCCTTCCCTCTGGTATTTTGGAGAATAAATTGACCTCCTCTTCTCTGTGGCAGCCCCTCAAATACTGGAATACAGTTATCATGTCACCCCTGGTCTTTCTTTTCTCTAGACTAGCCATATCCAAATCCTGCAACTCTTCTTATGTTTCCATTTTGTCTCAGGCCCTTAATCATCTTAGTTGCTCTTCTCTGCATTTTTTCCCAAAGTCTCAACATCTTTTTTGTAATGTGACCAAAACTGGATGCAATATTCCAGGTGTGGCCTTACTAAGGTTTTATAAAGTGATACTGATATTTCAGCTTATAGTATAGGTACCTATAGCAGTGATGGCTAACCTTTTTGTTATCATGTGCTGAAAGTGCGCGTACGACAGTACACACATGCGTGCCCATACCCATAATGCAATGCATGTGCGATACCCCCCCATGTGTGCCCAGCCCCCTGCGCATATGTGGGTGAGCTGAGCTGGGGCAATGGCTTGCATGCCCACAGAGTGCCATAAGTTCATCACCATGGATCTATAGTATAAAATGTTATTAGCTGTGATAAGTGACACTTGAATTGTTTCTGATTTTATGGTAATACTGGAAAAAATTCAAATACTTAGTTATTGGTAACTATGTTCTCTATAAGATTCCATTTTTTTTAAAAAAATGTGTCTCTTTATATGCAACTACAAACTAATTGAAAATAGTGATAGCAATGAAAAGCAAAAGTAACTTTGTGATGCACTCAGAGAGTTTAGAGTAGTACTTAAAGTACTGGACCAAAAATTAGGTTACTGTGAGTTCTAGTCCTACTTGAGGCACAAAGGTAAATGGATGGCCTTGGGCCTGTCACTCTCTCTCTCAGCCCTAGGAAGCATGTAAGGTTAAAACACTTCCAAAAATATTCAAGGGCTAGTCCAGATAGTCAACAATGCCTTGAAACCACAAATACAGAATATCCACCCAGAGAAGTTATTGGATGAATCAGATCCTGTTTCCTTGAAAATAGGACCTCCCCGAATAATAAGCCCAATTGGGCTTTTGAACGCATGTGCTAAAATAAGCCTTCCCCCGAAAATAAGCCCTCCCTGAAAATATTGCAACACAGCAGCAGCCATGAAGTGACCATGCTCACCGTCTCCTGCACCTGAAAAATAATAAGACCTCCCCAAAAATAAGGCCAAGTCTTGTTTCAGAGGTCAAAAGAAAATAAGACCCTGTCTTATTTTTGGGGAAACACAATACTACATAAACACAAACCTCTCTTTATAACCATTATCTAGTAAAAGACAGATGAACTAAACCTCACCTTTTTTACTAAACTGTAATAAGATTAGCACAAAGTCACAATAAAAAATATTTAAAAAAAAATCAAAGTGTATATAACAAGGATATAGGGATTATGCCTAGAAGTTTAATTCACAGCATGTCTCTCTGGACAGAGAATAATCATGCTGTGTTGAGTGAACTTCAAATCGCTGAGAGTCAGTTCTTTTATTATGCCCCTTAATTTGACTTATAGTGTTGGAACACATTGCACAAGTGGCGCTTATGAAATCTGAATTCTTAATCTTATTTAAGGCTCTACAGACCCTTTTCAAACCATTAAGGGATCCGAGGTGGGAAGAAGGTTTTCGATGGCTTCAACAGACAGTATCTATCTATCAACCACATTTGTTCATGGGGCAGAAAGGACTTTACGATCCCTGCCGGATAACAGCACGTCTGATGATGCAGCAAATAGCAACCCTTACAATCCCCAAACTTCCAAATCTTCAGGGGAAAGCTTGACTTTGTCTTCACAGCTTGAAACAGAAACGTATAATGTCTCACTAAGCAAAGTGCAATCTATTGGGCCTTCAACTGAGCATTCACTGGAATATTCCTCTGGAGTTACTACAGCCCTGTCACCAAATAATTCAGCAAGTAAGTTTGCTATATGGCTAAGAACAAAGGAAAAATGTAGATTGTAATCAATATGGTTTGTATTGTGCATGTCCAACATTGTAAATATGTGTATAAGCACATACAACATATTGCACATACATTCAGCATATACTGTATAAATTGGCATGCATGTCTATTTCTATAGACATATCCAGTATGCAGAATCAAAATACTTACATTCGTGATGAACTATATCATTTGTTTGGATTTAGTTTGTGCAGAAGTAAATGTGTATGATAAGGGCAACCACAATACATTCTGAACCAATCAAATATAATTACTTTCAGTACAGTACTCCATTTCAAAATGCACTAATTCACTGTGCTTAATATTATAAATAACATGACGTACGATACTATTCCATTTTAAACATATGTGTCCAAATTACTATTTCAGCTACTGGAAGCACTGATAATTCAACTAGTGGGCCAAGAGTTCTGCCTTTTCACACGATCAGTACTGGTAGTTCAGCCCCATTCAGTGAAGGTGGAGAGCAAACTACACCACCTACAATTAACACTACAGTGATGGAAGAGACTGAAAGTGTCTCCTCATATATGGAAACTTTTGACAGCACAAGATCAAAACCTTCCTTGTCCAAGACATACTCTAGAATGACACATTTCTCTCTAAAAGATTTGGATGTCTCTCCATCTTCAACTGAGGCTTTCCAAATACTTAGCTCATCAACTGATTCTTCTTCCAAAAGTGAACTTTCAGGTTAGTTTTCTATTATATTCTCTTGCCAGCATCAAAGCCAATTCCTATCTGGTTTTTCCCCCCTTAATATGTAAATGAACTGTGCTTTTCTTGGAGAATATTTTATTTGATGTATCTAAAAGTGAATCAGTAAAGCACCTGAATATATTTATGATTTTTTTTAACTTTCAGATATAACATTACTTGATGATGACATGTATTATTCCATTAGTAATTGACAGAGATAATAGGCACTGAGTTCCATATTGGTTATGTATGTAATATTGAATACTTCTTTATGTTCTAGTTTGTGAATCCTTATCTTGAATTCTCTATAGTAAAATTCACATCGTCATGGCAGTGTCACGTGACATATCAGGACTTTTTCACCTTTCATTAAACTGGGCGTGGGCGTGACCAGAGTGTTTACGCATCCAGTCCGCGGGCCGGAAGTTTGACAGCCCTGCCTTAGACCATCGTCTCTTTCATTTTTATTTTATGAATAGAAAGTTTATCTCAATAGTTAATTGTGCTTTGTTTCTTTTTCAGACGCTGGAACAGAATACCAGCCAATGAGTGGGACTGACTTTGGAACAGAAACCTCTGTTTCTCATACTGACAGCACATACACCTTAACTACCTTTGCCAAGGGTGGAGAAAGGACATTGCTGTCTCTTCCAAACAACAGCACATCATCTGACTTCTCAGGAAGTTCCACTTTCTCTGCGGAGATATCCAGCGCTTCCGAGTTAGTTCAGTCTTTCTTTCCAAGTGACATGGATTTTTCTGAAAATTCAACAGAACCTTTGGCAGTTCATTCCCTGAAAACACCAGAGTATTCGTCTACAGTGAGTGAACCACACACAACTCAGTATTATTTAGAATCAGAATCTACATCCACTGACAGCCTGTCATTTTCATCTTCCTCTACAACAAGGCTGTCAGAGCAGGATTCACTTCCACCAGTTCACCCATCCACTTTGTTTTCCTCAGCCAAGTCTTCTGTCCCATCCTCTTTTTCAACATTCCCATTATCATCATCTCCACCCACATCTCTAATGACATTTTCGCCCATGTCTCCATCCACAAAACCACCCACATCGCCTTTCTTTCCGTCTGTGTTGCCTTCACTTTCTTCAACACCTTCATTGTTACAGCCTAGTGAAAGTCTTGAAACCAGTGTTTCTATGACTGAGCCTGAAGGAACAACTGGAGCAGAACTACACACGACAAGAAATTCCCATGACGAAGACAACCATCTGACTACGGTGCATCCATTGGCGAACAACACTATTCTGATGGCAACTGGGACTTCTCTTCTGACTGAAATTACTGAACAGCCTGCCAACCATTCTTTGCCAAGAACCACTTCCCAAGAGGAAACTAAGGGACAGACACTTACTCTCCCAGGAATCAGTATTGAGAATGAATCCATTACAACTACCTCGTCACCCTATTTCCAAGAAGTGACTACTACTTCTGAGCCAGCAAAAGCAACTACAGCTATACTGTTGCATACAATCCCTCAAAAGGATACTTTCCCTTCATCAACAATAACCATGGGCAGAAAAACTACAGAAATAACACACACACCTGGAAGATTGCCTACTTCAGCATCAACCATGAATTATTTGTTCACTACAAAGCTTCAAAAAGTTCTGTTGCCCTCTCCTACTGATATATCTTCTTCCCCTGGAATTCCCACAAAAATGGTGGAAAAAAGTAGTATAACTACTGTGAAAACCACAGTGCCCAGGATTGTTATTACTTCTCCTCCTTACACCTTAACTTCTCAAAAAACCACCGTTCAGTCTTTTCCTGCTTCACTAATTCCTTCCAGACCAGCCACAACTGTGAATCTAGGAAACACAAAGATATCTCCAACTGTCTATGGAAAAGGTATTTTTGTTTGCAAATGTTGGAAATAACATTGGCCTGAAAAATGAATTTAACTTGTGATACATAATTCCATACTGCAATGGGAGCACTTTGCATAGATTAAAAAAAGTATTTGAATTTCATGGAGATCAGAGTAAGACATAAAGATGCCATATAGAATTAAAAGTTATTTGAAAATGGGGAAGGAAAATCTTTAAGCTATGAAAAGGCTAGACAAAAAATATGTTTCTTAAAAACAATAGCAGCAAATATGCAAAGAAACACTTAAACATAATGATAAGTAATGGTGGAAATGCTGATTCTCTTCTATAATCACAAAGACATATGCAATTTAATTAAGTGGAAGAAGGTGAAAAGAAATCTCAAAGTATATTATCTACCATACAGCAGCACAGTGGCTCAGCAGTTAAGAAGCTGGGCTTGTTGAAAAGCCAACATTCCAGTGTTTTTTTTGCTAAAGTGATTAATCCCTCTAAAGTTTTTTTTTCTATCTGGAGCTGGAAGAAGGCTAAGTCCTGAGCTGGCCTTTTGCTAGTTCTAAGGTAAGTAATCTATATCTCATTAGGTTCTGCCAGTCTCAATCCTTTAGATTGTGCCACAGAAATTCAGTGTCCTCTATACCATCAGTTTCTGGATGGCTGTATGTATGGTCCAGTCATTCACTTTGTCATAATTCAGCTGTTTCTCTGTCAACCCTGGAACAGAGTGCTTTCTATTGAAGACATAGATGGTCATTCTGCAATGGCCATTTCACTCCTTTTTCTCTCTTCTGTTTCAGATGTAGATGAATGCCTGCCAAATCCATGTCCATCTATGTCTACGTGCACTCATGTGCAAGGTTCATTCCAATGCATTTGTCCCTTGGGCTATCAGATGGAAAAGGGAAAATGTAATTTGGGTAAGAGCCAAGGAGCAAAATAATATTAACTAAAATATTGTCAGTGTAAAAAATTTTTTTTTAACCAAAAATGTATTTAGCCCTAACTCTAACTTTATTTTGCTGATTAGTGACCTTAATTTGACCCTGTATTTCCTATTACATTACCATATATATTAGACTTCTGATATTGTCAGTTTAATTATATAATAGTCAGAAGAATTCTTGGCAGTCCAATTGACTTTGAACTTCAGAAAGGGGATAAGAATCTTCTTAGTCAACCTAAGAAGGGAATGCAAACGATCATGGCCACAGACTACGATCTTCGATTCTTTGCTAATTCTAGACCTCTCCATGTATTCATAGCAAAATCATTCTATCTCAAAAACCTTTTATCCACACAATTCTTAACCAAGTTTTTTTTCCTAGTTTCCCTTCATTCCTTACCCCATAGATTATCACCTCCCGCTCCCCACCCCAATGCCAATAGTCTGTCCAACCTTAATTATTTGGCCTCTCTAGTAACCTTCTCACACTAAAGCACCCTCCCAGAATTTTAATTCCTAGAATTTGGGGAAATTTGGACAATTGAAATCCACATCCTCGTAGGTCACCCAAGTTGCATCAGGCTGCTCTTGCCTTAATGTCCTTCCACCAGTCCATGGAATATTTTTTTAAAAATCCTTTTTTTTTCTTGTGACTGTGAAAAGTATCTTTTTTTGCTGTTGGGAGAGCAGCTGGGAATTTTGCAAGGGGGAAAATACCATTAGAAGGGAAAGGTAGTAACTGCCAGGAGTGCCCAATGGGCCATAAGGCAGTTTAGAAGTCAAAATAATGAGGATGATATCCACTCTTGGTTGTATCCTTCTATAGATGATTTCTATGTCTTTGCATCTTTTTTACAAATGCAGCTTAGCCCATAAATTCAAAACTCTGACTTATATATCAAAAGTTATGTTTCTACCTTATTTTGCAAAGAAAAGGCATAAGAGTGAATATGTCTGTATGCATGAGGGAAAGAGAAGTGGGGGGTCTAGTCTTAGTCTTAGCTAACAAGTTGTTCTCTCATCCACAGTAAGGACATTTGTTGGTCACTTTCCACTAATGTTTAACACAACCGGAGGGACATATGCAGAACTACATCAAATTGAAGGAGTTATCATAAACCTGGTAAGTGTAATAATCCTCCTTTAAATATTTTTTTCATAATGACAACTGGTGAGGCTACTTTTGGAAATTTTAATAAAATATCCTGATGCTCTCAGTCTTCAGAGAGAAAGGCAAGAAATGGGCAAACTATAAGAGGCAACTTTATGCCATTGCCAGTTGGGTGGCTGCATGATATCCTGCGTAAGTCTTGGGTTCAAGGCATAATTGCCGAACTTAGAATTCTTGGTTGAACTTTTTTCCCTTTGTTTTCAGCTGAATGAATCCCTTTCAACATTTCCTGGTTATTATACTTCAACTGTTAAAGCCTCAAGGTAAGGAGCATATCACAGTGAAAGAGCTGGGGTATAATTTTATATCTTTCTCCCTTCCTTCTTGATATGGCTGGTGTTTGTGTGTATGTGCGCATGCACACACATTAGGGCTTATTTTCCTATTAGGTCTTAATTTTGGGAAAACATGGTACTAAATGCATCTGTCTGTCTGACTATCTTAATTGGGGCTTATTTTGGGAATGGGCTTATATTACAAGCATTCTGAAAAATCATGCTAGGGCTTATTTTCCAGTTGGGTCTTATTTTTGGGGAAACATGGTATATATCATATATATGTGATATATGTGTGTGTGAGTATGTGTGTGTATGTATGTGTATACACACATACACATACACACACATACACACACTTTATTGCCAAAAGTATTCGCTCACCCATCCACAGAATGCAATAAAGTGTATGTTCTTTCTTTCTTTCTTTCTTTCTTTCTTTCTTTCTTTCTTTCTTTCTTTCTTTCTTTCTTTCTTTCTTTCTTTCTTTCTTTCATCTATCTATCTATCTATCTATCTATCTATCTATCTATCTATCTATCTATCTATCTATCTATCTATCTATCTATCTATCTNATCTATCTATCTATCTATCTATCTATCTATCTATCTATCTATCTATCTATCTATCTATCTATCTATCTATCTATCTATCTATCTACTTTCTGGAATGTTGTGCCTATAAAAAAACGTCTCCCATTCTTGGGAAGCCCAGAAATAGGACACTTCCCAAGAAATGGACACTTTTTTCTGTGGGCACAACATTCCAATGGTCCGACTTAAAATTCTGTGTTATGTTTCCACAATTGGAGGAAGAGCAGGTAACTTTAAATGGCTCACTCTCTTTTCAGGCAGGAAGGTATTGTCCAAATATCCATCCTAAGCACCTTTTCCATGGCTTCCAACATCACCTTTTCTGAAGTAATTGGCACAGTGCAAAGCCGGATCCAAGCCTGCAAAGCTCCCACCCTACCTTGCCAATTCATCTCTAACTTGACCCAACTCTATAGAGGTAAATATTGCAGAGTTTCTAAGAAAAGAAAAGTGTTTTGAAATGAGTTTATTTACAACAAACAAAAACATTTTCTTCATAGCTGTCTTGGTTGAAGTTGGAAATGTCTCAAAACCTCTGCAGTGTTTCTCAATCTTGACATCTTTAAGATGGTTGAACTTCACTTCCCAGACCTCCCCAGCCTAGTATAACCTTAACCCGTGCTGGCTGCGAATTCTGGGAGTTGAAATCCACTCGTCTTGAAGTTTGCAAGGTTGAGAACCATTGCTCTAGAGGTTGGAATGCAAAGATTGAGTCTGTTCTGACATGTGTAATTTGTCTCATTATAAAAAAAATACTCTATACATGGGAAGACTTTTTATCTCAGAGATACAACGTTTGAGCTGGTCCAAATGACCTGAGCACAGTTCTGAGAATCAAATAACAGGAGGATGCATTTAAAACAAAAAGAAAAAGATAGCAGTTATAAAGACATTGTGATTAGTTAATTTTTCAAGAGTGTTAATCTATTGGTGGAGATCCACAGTCTATTAAAGCACTACTGTAATCACACAATTGCCCTTGAGATACTTTATGAAAAGGATTAGTCTGCTTGGCACCTCATGAAAGGCATGCAGAAAAAACACACAAGTCAGAAAAAAACAAAAACCCAAAATACCAATGTAGAAAATTGCCAAGGTAGATAGCTGAAAATCCCACATCTTTAGCAAGAGTTTTTCCTCATGGGGTGTATATAATATAATAATAAAAATTAAAAGCAGAGAGGCTTAACATTTCCATTCTCTAAAAGTAACCAAATTGGCATTGTATGCTAAATTTTACCCCGAAATTCAGCAACTCTACGAAGAGCGAAGAACTCAGAAAAAGTGTTAATGGAGAACAAGTTCATTTCAGTTAAGCTCCTTATTTAAATGCCTATTTTGCTTGGCAGCAGAGTCAGTATATTCTTACAGTTGCTTTTATTTGGATAGGACTCTTAGTCGCGTACAGTTTAGATGAAGACAAGAAGGCACTTTGGGACATCAAAAATACTGCCCTCCCAGCTGTGATTTTAGCTTTATTGGTATAACCCGAAAGAAAACAAGATGATTTTTATTTTAATTTTTTTCTTTGAGAGATGAAGAAGTATAATTTTTCTTGGTCCTTTACCTTGACATCTCAGAAGGGAAGCTAAATACAGAAACAAGTAAAAGTTGTAATTTGCAAGGCAGGAATCCAGTAAAGGTGCTTTTTTCTCCCCTTCCCAAGCAAAGTGATAACACTGTAAATGTATTATTCCCTCCCCCTCTCTCTTTCTCTCTTTTTAGTTGGTGGTCTATGTAAACATAAAGATCCGGAATGTGACAAAGGGACTTCTGTGTGTGTAGACTTGGATGGCATTGCTGTTTGCCAGTGCAAACTTGGATATTTCAAATATAACAAACTGGATCATTCATGCAGAGGTATTGTGCTTTACACAGCTAGGTGGCTGGGACTGGTCTTTTTAATCTTTTGGTTCCAGTTCAAAGGATTTTATGCAGATCAACACAATTCCTTGCCTTTCTATGCATGCTAAGGAACTCTGCTCTCTGAAAAAGTATTAAGAGCTTACTGGGTTTCTCGGTCTTTTATTTAACTAGAGTGGAGATATTGGGAATATTGTCTTCTGCCCACTCTCTGTGAAGCAATCATACGTATTATCTTTTTGCACAGCCAGAAAAATAAATAAAATAAAAGGGAGCAGGCCAGGGAGGAGTCCACTACACCCGTAATTAAAATTAAAATTTTAGATAGTACATTGTGCAGTTATTTCTGTTTTTGTTTTGTCTGATTTCCTAGGGAAGTAAAAAAAAAGTTAATTGATCTTCATTCTCAGGTCTTTATGTTGTCTGAAAAGTATGAAGAGAAGAGAATTCTTTATTGGACAAGTGTGACTGGACACACAAGGAATTTGTCTTTGGTGCATATACTCTCAGAGACAAATCTCTTGTTTGTCCAATCATTGTTTCTGGGCCCCAAACAAAGTGGATAATCCACAAGTGGAGGCAATGCCATTTACTGAAGCTCCTATCAGGATAAGTTCCATTTGCTGCAAAACAAAATTTTACGCTCTGTGCATCTTCAGAGACATTCAATTCTATGCTGACTGAACCATAATATAGATAAATTTTCAAATGTTATCTAGATTTCAGTAATGTGACCCCATTCTTTATTTGCAATTGTAGCCATAGCAATTTCTTCTATTAATCTGAATTTCAAACAAAAACAGAAAATCAGGAAAAATGCATATTTGTGAGATATTGCAATGAAATTGGATCTAATCCAGTCTGTTAGGGAAGACATTTTTGTGGGCTCCATAAAAATATTTTTATGGGCTCTTAAGAATATTTCATAGAACTCATTGATTACTCATATAAACACTCACAGAAATACAGTCTAAAATAAATATTCCAGATCAGTGTTTCTCAAGCTTGGTAACTTTAAGATGTGAGGACTTTAGCTCCCAGAATTCCCTAGGCAGCCTCCATTCTAGCCAAGAAATTCTGGGAGTTGGAGTCCACACATCTTAAAGTTACCAATCTTGAGAAACACTGATCTAGATTATAGATTTTGATTGGGTGTACAAATCAAGCAAAGGTTTTTGTAAGTCTGATTTGTTAAATAAACTATAATTGAGTTTGGATATTATATGAGTGTAATCTACAGTTAGCTTCACAGTCCAAGACTGGTGGAAACTTCATAATTCAAGTCCTGACCCAGGATCTAAAAATTATTGAGGTAGTTTCTGAGAATATAGGCAGTTCCAAGCAGGGTAGGATTTTGTTTTGTTCTGGGTTTTTTGGGAAAAATCGGGGTATTCATGTCTGAAAAATTCAATATTTCCAGATATCAATGTAGTCTTTCAAGTAGTGAACCTCTGAGGCTCCAATCACAATTGGTATAACAATAGATTTCATTTTCTATACATGTTCAACTTTGATGTGCAAGTCCTAGTATTTTTTTTAAAAAAACTTTCCAATCCTTAATCCTTGCATGGGGGAGTATAGCAACATCAATGCACTAGATTTTCTTCTTTCCAATGACTGTTCTACAAGGCATATTATGAACAAGATCCCTGTGTGTTTGGATCTTAGATTCACATAAGACCTTAACCCACTCATTTTCCAAAACCTTCTCAACTTAGTAATAGCAATAGCACTTAGACTTATATACCGCTTCATAGGGCTTTCAGCCCTCTCCAAGCGGTTTACAGAGTCAGCATATTGCCCCCACAGTCTGGGTCCTCATTTCACCCACCTCGGAAGGATGGAAGGCTGAGTCAACCTTGAGCCGGTGAGATTTGAACCACCAAAATGCAGATAGCAGTCAGTTGAAGTGGCCTGCAGTACTGCACTCTAACCACTGCGCCACCTCGGCTCTTGATGGTCCCAGTAGGTTTTACTACATTCAAATCCAAACCTCTGGCAAAGTTTCCAATGAATAATTCTGGCAACTTGGTCATGATGCTGTAGATAGGATTTTGCAAACATCATTAAAGAGCGTGAGCTTTTGTGAGCTGCAGGTAGCAGAAAGGCTAGATAAAGTTGTTAGTTTGAAAGGGTGCTACCAGAGTCCTCTTAATTGATCTATTATGATAGAATAATTTGAGTCTCTTACTCCATCGGTTTGTGGTAATTCCTCCAACGAATGACTCTACTGTACAAAATTCATTTAGGAACTAAATGAATTTTGCCATCAGTGCAGTGATGGGTTCCACCGGTCCAGACCGGTTCGGACAAACAGGTAGTGTTTTGGCGGCCTGGGTCGCTGGAACCGGGAGCAACTCAGGCCTGCCACGCCCCCGAACTGGTTCTCTGGGCGGCGCCATAGGCACCGCCATCTTGTTTTTCGCTTCTTTATTGCACTGCGCATGCGTACGCAGCGCACACCAAGCGTGAGTGTGTGCACAGCATGCCCACCAGCAAACTAGCAGTAGTGCCTGCCGGAACCCATCCCTGCATCAGTGCCAATAGAAGAAAACAATCTGTAGCTCACAGCTGAACTGTGGAGTCCCTGATGCTCTCTGAGCTTGTTTTTTTTGCTTGCACACATTTCATTACCCAATTTCACCATCAATGTTCGGAATGATCAGAAGAAAAAACGAATGAAATGGAAAGCATCTGTTTAGTCACATAGTGCCGAGAATATCTGTAGCTCAGGGTTGAAATGAGGGATCTTTGGTTGTTTTTCTTGCAGATGTTTCATTATCCAAACTAAGTAACATCATCAGTGCATCATTAATGAAATGTGTACCAGAAAGCAACCAAGCTGAGGGAGCACCAAAGGCCACATAGTCATAACTATACTTAGCTACTTAATTGGGAAATGTAATAATTATCTGTTTAGATTCTGTTCTTCTCATTGATTTATTTCAGTCTGCCTTAGTGCTTCCAGATTTCCTTGTCAAATGTTGGCCATTCTGATAGGTGCCTATATCTCAAATGACATTTTTACCATTGAAAAACTGAGCAAAGATATGAGTCGGGGCCATGTATCTATTTTAGCTATGTTTATTTCCTACATATAATTTATCTGTGTATATTTCCTACGTATAATTATCCAAACTGCTTTTCTCCTTGCAAAGGAAAAAAAATAGAGTTTTATGTCTTCAAACCTCTTTCTCCCTCCCCTCATATGAAGTTTGGAGTTGAGCTGAACTCCTGTTGACTTTGTAATATATTTTTCTCTAATGAGTCTTCAATCACAGCCACTATGTAGAACAATATTGACCTCTACTGGTCAGTTGGTTTAAATACATTTAACTACCAACTGACCTTTATTTACATATATAAAAGTCCATCACCTTTTTACCTTCTTAATGATCTTAAACCATCCTTACATTGTATTCTCTAAGAGCCACTGTTGGGAATTAAAAGATTGACACTGTTGTTTTTATGGAACCCATACAAAAAAAATCTAATATTGTCTTGTAGCAAATACAATTTGAAACTGGAGAATTGTATTTGCAATTGGAGAAAGTATTGTACAAGATATTGCAGCTTCTTAAAAAGAAAGCCTTTATATTGCACAGTTAAAGTAATTTTTCATCCATTGTCACTTTATTCATCAACATTCCTTCTCTTGATTTTTAGCATGTGAAGATGGGTATAAACTCGAAAATGACACTTGTGTGAGGTATGAAAAATAAGGAGCTATTTTGCTCCCCAGTACGCTGTTATGAATGTAAGCCTAGATGTCCTCAGCTGCCCATGTCCATTGCGTGGGGGAGAGAGGTCAGAAAGGAAATGAGGTGGTTATCTTCCACTTTGGTCTAGTTCAATGATGGCTAACCTTTTTCTAAAGGTGTGCCAAAACTGTGCCCACTCACCTGTGCATGCGTGAGAGATCTCCACCAACATGCACGCACAAGCGACCACAGTGTGTGTGGGGGGATTTTCACCCTCTCCAGGCTCCAGAGACTTTCCTGAAGCCTGGAGAAAGCGAAAATGGTCTCCCCTGGCTACCTGGAAGGCCGAAAAACAGTTGACCGGTGTGCCAGAGCTGAGGGCTGCCATGCCAGCAAATATGGCTCCATGTGCCACCTGTGGCACGGGCGTCATAAGTTCGCCATCATGGTTCTAGTTAAGGATCAGGCTAGAAGTTCAAGCTAGAAGTCCAGCTGGGTGACCTTGAGACAGTCAAGCTTTCTCAACCCAACTCACCTCACAAGGTTGGGGGAAATGGAGGAAGGAGGAAAGTGTGTTGGATATGCTCATCATTCTGAGTTATTTGTGAAAATAATAACAGTGGGATACAAATAAATCCATTTTAAAAAGCATACAATGTTTGTTGCTCCTAGGGGAATGACCCAGGATCCCAGGGTGGTAATGGTTCTTAGATGAATCAGTCCACGGGGGGAGGCAGAGTGTTACCATTAGAATTCAGAAGAAAGGGATCCTTTTTTACTTCATTCATTGTGGGTGAATGGATTCAGACTGAAGAAGTTGTGGGTTCATACATAAGAGACTAAAACTATATCTCTACTGTTTTCTTTTCAGTTGTCCATTTGGATTGGGGGGATTCAACTGCAGGAATCGTACGTATCCAGTCCAATGTTCTTACCTATTCCATCTAGTTTTATTTGCATTCCTTAATTTTAAGATTTCCTTCCATTTTAGATTATTGCTCATAAGCATATCTGTGCTAAATCACCTATAATTATATGAAACCAATCAATTTAAAAAATATTTACCTCAAAAGTATCTTAACCTAGGTATCTTAAATATAATATACAAAGGTTATATATTTATCTATATAAAATGTAATTAAATTGAACATACATTCAAATTTTACAATTCTTTCTAGGTTTGGTCACTCTTTAATATAGTATATGTTAATACACTTTAATATACAGATAGTCTTGAACTTATGACCATAGTCATAAGTTCAAAATTTTTGTTGCTAAGTGAGATATTTGTTAAATGAGTTTTCCCCATTTTACAACCTCTCTTGCCAAAGTTGTTAAGTGAATCACTGCAGTTGCTAAGTTTAAAGCACAGTTGTTAAGTGAATATGGCTTCCTCATTGACTTTGATTGTTGGAAAGTCCCAAAAAGTGATCATAATACCCTGAGTCACTGCAACCATCACAAATATAAGTCAGTTGCCAGGCATCTGCCAATTTTGATCACATGACCATGGGGAAGCTGCAGCAGTCATAAGTGTGAAAAATGGTCATAAGTCTCTTTTTTCTTTTTTGCTATTGTAACAGTCACTAAATGAACTGTTGTAAATCAAGGACTACTTGTATACTATATTTTGTTTAATATAATATATTTATAACTATAGAATCTATCTTCCTTTCTGCATTTATTTATTTGCTCATTCAGTTTGGATCTACCTGACTCCAACTGACTCAGGGATCTGGATTTTTTCATTTTGTGAAAGGCTTATGCAAAAGGTTTATTTGACACAAAATTCACACTCACTTCTAATTGGAGGACTGGTGCCATCCTTTCAGTGTGGTGGAGAAAATAAGCTTATGTACAAATGCAGAATTCCTTCAAGTTGAAGCAAAATGCTTTGTTGAGGGATATGTCAGTGAGACCATTATTTCCAAATTTTTCAACTGAAGTGGAGCCTGGCAGTTACTGAATTCACAGTTTAAAAAAAATAAATTCAGCAGAACTCTAGAAAGATGGTAGAACATAATATGGGATTCTAATCCAATGTCGTTTCAAAATCCTTTCTTTAGTGCTCCCTAAATTAAATGATAGCTTCAAGGATATCTTAAATTGGAGGAGTAAGATAGATTGACGATTATGGTCCCTCCTGCCTCATATTCTAAAAGATGACCCAAACATTTATTTGAGATCAGAGATTGATGTCTGCCTTTGCAGGACTTTTGAAATAATTTGACTCCCAAATCTTATTGCCTTACAGCCTTTTGAACTAGCCAAAGTTTTGGACTGTCCTGAAGAGAAGTTTGCAAAGACAACAATATAATAATCTAATATTTTAATTAGTTTTTTTTAATTAACATCTCCTAAAGCTTCAGCGATGTGAACATTACCTCATAAGCTGATTTTTGTTCAGTTCCCTCCAAGATTTGGATTGGTTGATAAACATTCCATGACTGTAACATAGGTCAGATGTCTGTGGAGATTCTCAGTCATCCAGGTTGTCCCAAAGGTGCTTTTTCAAGAGGCAACTGGACTTTCTGGTTTTTCTTTGAAGATGTTTTGCTTCTCATCCAAGAGGCTTCTTTAAGCTTCGTTGCAAACTGAAGAAGCTTCTTGGATGAAAAGCAAAATAACTTCAAAGAAAAACCAGAAAGTCCAGTTGACTCTTGAAAAAGCACCTTTGGGACAACATAAGTCAGAGTTTCCAACTAAGATACTTTTTGCAGAGAATAGGAAGCTGACAGCCACTTGTTGCTAATCATTCTAGTGGGGGAAAAGGAACAGTGCTTAAAATGGTCTGTTTTTGTTTTAGCATACCAGCTTATCACCATCGTGATTGCAGGAGCTGGAGGGGGACTTCTGCTCATTATGGGAATAGCTCTCATAGTCACATGCTGCCAGTAAGTACCATAAATGTCTCATACTTTGATGTTTTTAAACTATTTAAATAACATTAATGAGAAATAAAAGTAGTTTTAAATTTTTGAAAAGGTACCTATGGATTATATCTTTATTGATCAATTTGCTTTGCCTATTTAAACAATAGTTAGCTTTTCAAACATCAGGAAGGTCCAAGCTGACAGAAAACAGTTTCAACTATATCATGAAGCTTGTGCTGGCTATAATAAGCAGATGTTCCAATACTGACTAAAGGAAATTTTTTTTTTGAGAATAATTATTACATGTTGTTAAAGAAGAGAGCTGGATATTCTTGTTTTCCTGCCTTCTGTCCAAACAATGTATTATATCCTAGCCACAATTCCATGATTGGTAGATTAGGCTAAGAGAAAATAACTTTTTATCATCCTCTAGCATAGGACTTAGACTTATATACCACTTCACAGTGCTTTACAGCCCTCCCTAAGCAGTTTACAGAGTCAGCATATTTTCCCCAACAATCTGGGTCCTCATTTTACTGACCTCAGAAGGGTGGAAGGCTGAGTCAACCTTGAGCTGGTCAGGATCGAACTGCTGGCAGTTGGCAGAATTAGCCTGCAGTACTGCATTCTAACCACTGTACCACCACAGCTGTACTCAATGTATATTTAAGTGGGCACTTTCGAATCCACGTTTTCCACTTCACACTATTTAGCCTGCAGTATAATATACAAAATACATGTATTTTTCTTTTCAGAAAGAATAAAAATGATATAAGCAAACTCATCTTCAAAAGCGGTGACTTCCAAATGTCACCGTATGCAGAATATCCCAAAAACCCTCGTGTTCAGGACTGGAGCAGAGAAACCATTGAAATGCAAGAGAACGGGAGTACTAAAAACCTATTACAGATGACGGATGTTTACTATATGGTATATATTCCTACATTGAATGAATGTCTGAAAGATAGGCACTTTCCAATCATTCAGAGATGCGTAAGAATAAAAAAGCAGGATTCTCTTATCAATTGTTTAACCCAAAATGAAAATACAGTAAACGGTCACTGAGAAATGAACAAAATAAAGGTTATGAGATTGTTCATATGATAGTATTTCATACCGACTTGAATGGGCGACTATGGCAGCTTCTTCAATATACAGGTTGTCCTCGACTTAACATTCATTTAGCGTCCATTTACAACAGGACTCAAAAAAGTGACTTATAAGTGGTATACCCCCTTAAGACTGTTGCAGCATCCCCATGGTCATGTGATCAACATTTAGGTGCTTGGCAACTGGGGTATATTTATGATAGTTGCACTCTCCCAGGGGTCACGTGATCACCATTTATAAACTTCCCAGCCAACTTCTGACAAGGAAAATCAATGGGGGAAGCCCGGTTTGCTTAATGACTGCATGACTCACTTAACAAATGGAACAATTCACTTAACAACTATGCCAAAAAAAAATTATACAATGCGGCAAAACTCACCTGCCTTGCTTAGCAATGGAAATTTTGGACTCAATGAAGGTCGTAAATCGAGGACTACCTGTATTGCAGGTTGTAGGAAGCCACTGCTTCTGTCTAAAATCTATTAGAATTCATTTCTTCCTATGAAAATACTAGAAGAAAATACTTCTTTTAAAATACTTTGTTTAAAGTATCGCTTCTCGGCCTTTTGGCTAAAATCAAGTGTAGTATCTTTTAAACGAGTTGCCAGGTTGTTGATAATTGGTCAGGAATGTATTTCCTTTACATTATTGAATTCCCAAAGGTGTTTCCCTAAGTTAGATAATAATGAAAAGAATACTGTTGCATTGATTTCATATGCATGGATTTATCCTGTTTCTTTAACCACTTTTCCCTCTTTTGTTTTGGACACTATGATATTTTCCTCTTACTGTATATATTAATATTTAAATCCCATGGGATTGGAATGCAATCTTCAATATTATTGAATGGCTTCCAATAGAAGAACGGTGAAGAGGCATAATCCCCTCTGTTTCTAGCAGTATACGAAGCTGAAAGATAAGGAAAGGCTTGGGGAGAAAAGTGCCTTCCAGAGACACTCCCATTTGTGCAATATTTAGCTCTGTCCGTGTAAAAAAACAACAAACTGGCAAGTGTTGAATGATTCTTTCCTTCTTTTCTGTGTAAATCTCTCTCCTTTAGCCAACTAATCTAAGGAATCCTGAACTAGAAAGAAATGGGATCTATCCGCCTTACACAGGTCTTCCAGGATCTCGACACTCCTGTATATACCCTGGACAATATAACCCAACCTTCATTAGTGATGACACCAGAAGAAGAGATTATTTTTAATGCAGGTGAAAAAAGGCAGTTGGGTGGCAAATGAACCTTTGGGTGCAGCATGTTCCCGGGTATGCAGTCGTCAGACAACAACTCGGTCACAACTGTGTACAGAAGGGGACTTTGAACCTGTGGAAAATCTCGGAAGGAGCTGCGCACAAGGAGCCACCTCCAGCTGAGCAAAAAGCAAAAAGAAGACAGGTGCGAAAAGCAAGTCCCATCATACGTCTGGTTGTCAGAAAGACACGGAAGAAGCTCATTCTGCATATGTTCCTCACCACTAACCATGTCACATAATGTGAACCTAATAATAGATCGTGAAAGCAAAACTAACAAGCACTGTGGCTGACACGCTAAATCTGATGCCATTAGGGTGTGTTGTGTTTACAGATAGCTTCTAGTGTGCTAGGTTTGTGTTGCCCACTTTTTTTTTAATGCAAAGCTGGCTTGAATGAATGTTATGGAGCAAATCCTTGCCCCTTGGTGTCTACTAGGAGGTACTCACAGCATGTTGCTTACCGAGTGGTGGAGATGGGTACGGGAATAGGGCCTAGAGATATGGGATCCTCATGCAGAATCCAAGGTGGGGTTTTATCCCTCTCCAAAAAGGCAAAAAAAAAAGTGATGCCCCCCATGTCCCATTATTTAGCTATGGCCTAAGTTTGTAGCAGTGCTGCTTAACTCATTGGCCTTATTCATTCTTCCCTATGCTCTCCAGGCCAGATGCAAAAAAGTTACGTTTAGTTATGTTCTGTGGATTTTCTTCCTCTTCTCTATCTAATGAGGGTGTAGGTCTGTCTATGGAGATTCTCAATCATCTAGGTCATGGTTGTCCCAAAGGTGCTTTTTTTTCAAAAGGCAACTAGACCTTCCTTAGTTTTTTTTCTTTGAAAACCTTTCACTTCTCATGCAAGAAGCTTCTTCAGTTCTAACTGAAGCAGTTCTAAGTTCAGTTAGAACTGAAGAAGCTTCTTGGATGAGAAGTGAAACCCAAAGAGATGGTTAGTACTGCCATGAGCTAGCAACACTGCCTGTACTATCTACTTGATAGCTCCACAAACAACATGGCAGGTCAAAGTGTCTCAACCTCTTCAAAGAAAAAGAAAAAAGCCAAGAAAGTGCAGTTGCTTTTGGGGGGAAAAGGCATCTTTGGGATGAGGTTGTAGGTCATCTGCATGTAATGCAATCTTCTCTAATAGATTACATTGTCCAGATCCTGGTCAAAGTTTTCCAGGTATGTGAAGTTGCTCCTACATCATTTGACAATAGTAAATGCACAAAATGTACAAAGAGAAATAACGCAAGACAGCTTAATCTCATATTGTATATTACTTAATTGCTCATAGACTTCTTTATAACATTTCCTGATTATTTTTTTAAAAAAAAACACCTTTGGGGAAGTTTGATCTTTGTTCTAAACAAGTGGTATTCTGAAAAGTGATCTTTGTCAAGGTGTGGCAAGTTGATAGGTATGGTTGAGTGGAACTTGAGCTTAATCATAAAAGTTCATGAATGGCAAAGGACCAGATGTGCAGATTGATGATTTGTATTAGAAGAGTACAGGATGTGAGCAAATTTAACAGAAGATCATGTGGTCAACTTTAGCCCTTCAGAGTCACAATGGAGTAGACTGTGCTTACCTTGTGCGGTAGTTCCTTATCTGTAACACTGCACAAAATGGTACAGAAAGATATGCCATGATCAGAAGAAAACAGGCACAATAGAGGCTGCCCCATCCAGTTTGCCTCCAGAATTGGCTATTCAAAATCGAATAAACTTTGAAGTGCCTGGAACTATGATTAGGCCTAATTCTGTAATCAGAGGAATAGACAGTTTAGCACTGTTGATATTTTGGGGCATACTACTACGGCACCCATGAAATAGCAAGTGCCTAGTAATAAAATACTCATTTAGACGAAAGACAAGGCAATGAGGTATATCCATTCACCAATTTGTTTATTAAGAATGCCTCTGGCGTATGATGCATTTTCCAAAATATAAGTTGTTTTGTAAGGTGCTACTTTGCTTTAGAGCAGACTAGCTTCACATTCATTGTTTCAAATTAAAATCCAGAAGAAAAATAAAAATAGGGAAGAAAAGCTTCGTGGGCATCAAAAAGCACAATGTTATCCTTGGCCATAATGTTGGATGTCCAGAAATTATAATAATTGTCCAAGGTATTTATGGGGAAATTGATTGTTTCAAGAGGCTAAGATAAAACTAAAGCAGCCACATCTGGACTTCTAAGCATATATTGGTCCTCTTCTATTTATAGACTAGGCAGGAATGGGAAAAGTGGAAGGAAAGAGAAGAGGGCAACCTATAGTAAGGTAGATAGAGTCAGTAATGGGTGCACCACTGGAAGACTTGAAGGATCAAGTTAGGGACAAATCGTCTTGCAGAAACTCTACATGGTCACTAAGGATTGGCACTTGACTTGATAGCATATATGCAATCAAAGTAGATGAAGTAGTTTCCCCACAACCTATGCAGAGACTATAATAGGTTATTTTCTTAAAACACCTGGAACACACCAGGTTGGGAAAAACTGTACTAAGCAGTCTCTTCCATTTTGTTTCAATCTGTAACTTCTCCATTTATGAAATGATGTAGGAACAACATGTTAACAATTGTTAACAATATTTAACTGTGTGCTATTCAGATTGCTGCCTTCTATATTGGGATTTTCTGAGGGATGAACTTAACACTGTAGAAAGCCCTCCATTATGTGAAGATTTCCCCCCCCCCCAAAGCTGATTGGAGTAGAAGACCTACATGGTCCCTTCCAACTCTGTTATTCTGATCCTGCTTGATAGGGAATATAAAAGAAGTGTAAATGTGAATTCCTGGATCCAACACAAAATAACTTGGGGCCAAAAGGATGGGATCAGGGGAGCCTTCCAGCATGCAGCCAAATTGTATTTGTGCTGCATCAGGATTGCACATATACACTCAAAGAGAGGGTCAGTACTACCATGAGCTAGCAACGCTGCCCGTACTAACCATCTACTTCATAGCTCCACAAACAACATGGTGGGTCAAAGTGTTTCAAGCAGGACTTTCTTTTTAAACAGCAAAAAAACAAAGGTGGTCTATGGTCTATGCTCACTTTACAAGAAATGTATCATTCCCTTAATTTAAACAACCAAATTGTTTCTTATGCCATCAATTTATACCACAAGTTTAAACAAAATATATAATTCCTTAATTTAATGTCAATTCAGAGGTGGGTTTCTGCCGGTTCAGCCCGGATCAGGTGAACTGGTAGTGGTGGTGGCTGGAGGCTCCACCCACCTGGCTGGATACTTCTGCGCATGTGCAGAAGCTTCTGCGCAGGTGCAAAAGCAGCAAGTGCACACGCATGCACAAGCAAAACAGTAGTAAAATAAATTAAAACCCACCACTGTGCCAATTACATTGCTCAAGCTATTGAATGAATCCTGCCATTAGATATCATGGAGAATGAGGTTTTGTACTAGATGGACAGATTTCATATGGTGGATTCTTTTGGCCAACCCATCATTCTCAGTATTTCCTTGGGGACAACCATAACAATTTTTTATCTTGTCATAAATAGGCACACATTTCCACTGCAGATGCATCCTTCAAAGATGATATCCGTGAAAGCTCTGTGGAATTTAATTTTGTTGCCAAGCAACAAAAAACCATTCCCTGCATAAAGGGGCGCCAAAGTAGTTATTAATTTATTTAGCTGAAATAATTGGATTTTTCCAGGTGATTGTCTTGAATCATCATTTAATATCAGTGTGCTAAAACTGATATTTAAAAAAACCTTAATTGAGTTTTATTTATTTACTTTTTACAAAGGGCAAGCTTGACTATTTTGAGAAAATATTTAAGGTTATGAATATATGTACTTATGTGAAATAAGTTCTATCAAACCATTTTTTCCCTTGGAGGCCTGGCCTTCCAATAATAACATAATTATCTATAAATATGGACACATTAATTCAGGGGTGATCAACTATGCTGACCCTCTTCATTTCAGTTGCATTAAAAACTGCCCAGTCCTGCTTTTCTTTGTGAAATATATAAATTAGATATTTTTGCAAGAAAATAATAAGCACTGATTTCTATGAAATTAGTTTGCTTCACAGAACGTTCTCCAGAGAAGCATGTAATATCTTATATCACTTGTTAACATTTTAATTTGAGAGTATGTGAAAAGTTTGAACCTAGTGTTAATTTTACATGAAATCTCTCTCTTTCTGTTTTGTTATAAAATTTACATTTGTCACTTTTATTAGGCCACCCTCAAAGCTGCATATGATACCTTCAAAGATAAATCATGCCTTGTGTTTTTCTCCATGATGACCCTGGATTACTTACCATCAATGGCTTGTAATTATTGTATTGTACATTGTTCAGCTTTGCATATTTTTGAACACATCTTCTGATTTGTTTTGGTTATTTTAATTTTCCTACACAGTGTTATTTAAAATCGTACCTTATTTGCAACCTTCACTAATTATACAGTAATGTAGTTTCTAAAATATAATTTCTAAAAATTGGATTATTTTTATACCAGCCTGCAACATATCTGAACTCTGGCGTTCTAGTCAGTATGTTTTTAAAAGGCTACAATAAAAGTATTAATAATATTCTCAACATGCGTTTTTATTGGAACAATTGGTATTAATCAAAGCTACCCTTCCATATAGGAGAATTAAGTAGACATAGGCAAATAACTATGGCTATGGATTTTGAGATCACATGTATAAAAGTAACAACTGTCCCAGAATTCTAGAATCCTGGGACAGTTGAGGAATCTCAGCAGATACATTGAAATGGGCGCATTTATTGAATTTGTACACAATGGCCTTCATTTGAATTTGAAAACACCATAAAGGCAGCATGAGGCAGACTTTCCTAGGAGTTGTTCAATAGCTGGAATATCTATGGAGATTCTCAGTTGTCCCAAAGGTGTTTTTTCAAGAGGCAACTGGACTTTCTGGTTATTTTTTGAAGATGTTTCACTTCTCATCCAAAAAACTTCTTCAGCTCTGGTCTTCAAAAAAAATATCAGAAAGTACAGTTTCTCTTGAAAAAGCATCTTTGGGACAATAACTGGAATACCATTACCATAAAGATTTTCTCCTAAGTGGCAACATTACCGATGGGAGTAAAGCAAAATATTGGAGGTTCTTCTCAAGAATATATAGAATGTATATATGGAAGTATGGTAGCTTATGATGTAACCTTGTCCCAAGTTGTTTAATATTTAAAAGAAGGAATGGACTGGCAAGCCAATTATGCAAGCCAGTTTACGAAGGATAAACATGAGGTGAGGCCAGGACTTTGTCTCTCCCTTTCTGTACATATAATTAAGTCTATTTTAGGGTTCATGCTATATTTTATGCTTTCTCAATACAAAGGGGAGGGAAGAAAAAACTGCACCAACACTCTGCCAATATTTAATAGCATGGTCCAAGCAAGACAGGACTAGGGCTTTAGGTCATTCATTTCTGATTTAAAGTTAAAATTAGCACAAAATTGTGTCCATAATATATCAAATGTAATTGCAGTTATTTAAATCTAGGTTTAATAAACACACAATGAATGAATAACATTTCTTTTTATGTACATGCATGGGCTTTGGGAGTGTGCATTTACATCTATATAGTATATGTTTACTATATACAGTATATGATAAAGGCTTCTTCAAACTGAGCTTGACCTTGGACATCCCAGTCTAGCTAACATCCTTGCTATTTCTTAGATATCTCTCATCTAAGTGCTAACCAAGCTGACCCTGCTTAACCTTTCAGACCATCCAAGATCAACCAGGTGCTGTTACC